TATTTACTTTTTTTGATTATTGCGCTGTTTTGTTAAACGCAAAACTATATTTTACTGCTTTAATTTATTTAAATCTTGACTTTTTATAACAAAATGATATAGTCTAATAGCAAAAAAAAAAAAGAAATTGTATTTGCTCACATAAGCAGAATCGGGAACGGGAGGGTAAGACAGTTCGTACAAACACCAAAAAAAAACATCAAAACATTAAGTGCTATAGTGCAATATCTAAACTATACTATCTTGTGTAATAACTACGACTGCTGCGTGGGTTCACAACGACTTTTACCTCACGTTACTGAGAGGACCAAACGTGTTATCTCCGACCACGAACCGTCCCTGAGCGAGTTTAAACGATCGAGCCCCCTTTTAACCGATCCAAGTTGACTTTGACTGTTAACTTTTATGAATGACTTCGAAGTCGCCATGCTAATATAAATTGTAAAATACCTAAGTTAATTCTGGAAAAAATGTTAGTTGAATCTGCTCAAAAGCGTTCGCTTTAATTTCTTGCCATGGCTCATTTGACATAGGTCGTTGGTCATTCGTCATTGGTCATTGGTCATTCATCATTCGTCATTCATCTTGTGTCATTGGTCATTCGTCAGTTGTCATTGGTCATTTGCCGTTTGTCATTGTTCATTGGTCATTGCTCATTCGCCATTTGTCGTTCGTCCATCATCGAGTAGCTCTCGGGTCAGTTAGTTAAAAAATATACAATTTAATTTTGTCTTCGGTAATAATAGATTGGCGTAATTATTTTTTAATACTACAGTTATGACTTAAATAATGACATTTAAATTTTATTATTTGCAAAGAAAATAACGACCATAATTGAAAACTCGCCATTGGTCTTGGTCATTGGTCATTCAGCATACGTCATAGGTCATGCGTAATGTGTCATTAGTCATTTCTCATTCGTCATTGGTTAGTTCGTCATTCGTAACTCGTCAATGGTCATTGGTCATTGGTCATTCGTCATTTGCCATGCGTCTTTGGTCATGTGTAATTCATCATTGCTCATTTGTTATGCGTCATTGTTCACTGGTCATGCGTTATTGATCATTGGTCATTTGTCAGTTGTGACTAGTTTTGGTCAATCATCATTCGTCATTCGTCATTGGTCATTCGTCATTGATCATTCGTTATTCGTCATTCATTATTCGTCATTGGTCAGTGGTCATGCGTCATTCGTCGTTTGTTATTCGCCATAAATCATTTTGCATTGGTCATTGGTCATTGGTCAATAATCATTGGTCATGGGTCATTCGTGAGTCAGTTAGTCCTGCTAATTAGCTATTGAACCTAACTAACTAATCGAAATCAACCAAAACCATCCAAAAAAATCATTCATTTGCATGATTTAATCTCTACCAAGGCACCGTCCGTAAAAATGCTGAATCCAAATTCACCGACAGGCCACCTCCTTTTCCTATCACGAAAATCGAAATCAAAGAATAATATTAGTTACTACTGACGCTTCGAACGCGAACTACTTTTTGAGTAAAACAGATTTTGTATATATTTTACCCTACAACAATGATGCCAAGATGTGTGACTCTCTAGACGCGAACGGATGCCTGATCATAGACAGCGCCGCGCTCGGTCACTGCTAGGAACTAAAATATACTTTTGACGTTCATTTGGGTATGGTGTTAATGAGAGATCAAAAAATTCTTCTTCCTTAAACTGTAAGGTATAAAAATAAACTGGCCAGGACTAATGACTCAAATCCTGCACTCGCAGATTTGGTTTCCACAGGAAGGTGCTCGAAAAGTGAGCGAATATTTAAATACGGTAATTCCCGGACTGAAGATTGGTAGAAGGGTATCATCAATTGAATGGCATGCAAGATCTCCATATGTTACTCGCCTGGATTTTTTCCTCTGAGGATGTTCAAAATCTAGAGCTTATAAGGAAAAACCACAAAATTTAGATGATTTCAAATTTAGGATTAGGTACGAAATAAGGCAAATTGGGTGGGTTTTAAAGCTATCAGCATATTGTTAAAAAGTTACTGGTAGACATTTACAATACCTTATTAAATAATTTCGTACACATGTATTTGTTTTGCTCATAAAGACTAAGACATCGATCGATATAGAGTATGCTACATGAATTATCCGCAAAATTTGAGTCGGAATTCGAAAAAAAATTAATAAAATTCTCTGCAGATGAGATTTCGGGATCCTTGTGTCACATTGTGATCTTTTATTTTAATTATGTAACTTTTCCAGAAACTTATGTTAGCAATCGTAAGACCAATACACACAAAGTCATAGTACACCTTAACCTTAAAGGAAGAAAACCTTTTATAGGTATAGACACTAACATTTGAGGCTTTTCTGAAGCTGAAGCTGAAAAACCATACTGCCACTTTCAATTAATAATAACCATGGAACAAAAGTCTTTGATGGTTATTAGATTTGAAAATAACCAAGATAAACTGGTTGCAAATTAATCTACATTAATCTTTATAGCTGTCAGATTTACAACTCAGCGGATGTAATTTTAGCGTGTATCCATCCCAGATTTCGCGCCACGTCGTTTCCCAATCAACACTTATGATACATTATACCATGAACAATGTAACAGTGTAAAAAAATAGTTAACAAATAGAAGGCACTTTCATCGACATTAACCCACACTTGACCTAATCGCTTAGCTCTCGGATCAGTTAGTTAAAATCTCTGTGACGAAAAAAAATCTAACGAACTTTGGTTACTCATTTAACAATATATAATTTGATTATATCTTAGGTAATAACAGACGAGCATTATAAACTTTTCGTAGCTAATGCAGAGAAAATCACGGCCATAGGTTAAAACTGGCCATATTATTCCATACGACTGGGGAATGAATGAATGAAACTGTGACTTGTCAAATAATGCTATTTTGAAAATGGTGAACTGTTGAGCGAGGTGATTTTGTTAAAAGTAAAAACCTTTTGCGGTTCTGAAAGAAATAGTTAGTGCTAATTCACTTGCTATATATAGCTCACTTACTATATATAACTCAATTTTCACAACGCAACAAGTTGTTGCAAGTTTAAGCTGCGACTTTTACTTTTTCTAGTTGCATCAATTTGTTGCGTTAAGTACACGTTAAGATTCTCCACAAATAAAAACAAGGTTGTAGTATCTTAGGTAAAGTCATCGAAAAAGCCTTAAAACCCGCCTTTCACGATTTTTTGAAAACCAGAAACTTCTGAGCGACTCTCAGTTCGGGTTTCGTGAAAAGAAATCCACAAACCATGCGCTCATAGACTTTGTGAGCAGGGTAGTCCAGGGGTATGATGATGGTGAGATTTCGAAGGCCCTGTTGTATGATCTTACAAAGGCTTTTGACTGTGTTGGCCACGTCGTATTATTGAATAAATTAGAGTTTTACGGCGTCAGGGGTATCCATCTACAATTAATAGAGTCATATCTAGACAGCAGGTTTCAGTACGTTGAGAGTGGCGGCGTGTCAAGTGCGCGTTCTCCCAGTAGTCTCCGGCGTTCCTCAGGGCTCGGTACTGCTCTTCATTATTTACATAAATGATCTGCCGCTGTCCATACTCAATGCAAACGTGACCCTGTTCGCAGATGACACTGCTGTTCTCTCAAAGGCTAGGAATCATAAAATGCTTACTGAAAACCTTGATGAGACTGCGAGGGTCCTTCAGCAGTGGTTCTCTGCAAACAATCTAGTCCTTAACCAACAAAAAACTCAAGAACCTACTTTCTCTTGTAGCAAAGTAGACTTTCTTCATCAAGACAATATTGCTCTAATGGGATTTGTTATTGACAGAACTGTGTCATAGACCGGCCAAATCGACGAGGTCTGCGCCACATTGTCCCGGCGTTTGTTCCTGTTACGGCATCTCAGCTACTGTCTAACAAGGTTGGCCCTAAAAACAGCCTAGTTCGGTCTGCTGCACAGTGTGTTGTCTTACGGTGTTGTGTTGTGGGGTGGGGTAAAGTACTCGGAAAAAGCCTTTCGTTTGCAAAAGAAGGCAATACGGCTACTTAGCGGCGCTGGTCCGCGTGAACACTGCAGACCCATCTTCGCGGATATGGAGATTATGACGCTGCCCTCTACCTACATCTACAAATCTGTTTTATACATTCATGATATTGCTGATTCTTATCGCACACTAACTAGTAGACATGGGTATAACACCAGGCAAGCTGATTCGATCGCCCTACCGTACTCCAGACTGACGTCCTCGCAAACTAATAAAATGAATGTTAAATTATACAATGTTCTGCCGAGCAGCCTTAAAAAGCTACCAACCAGACAATTCAAGCAGAAAATGAAAATTTTCTTATTAGAGAATCCCTTTTATGGCACCGATGAATATTTTGAGCTGCTTAAGCATACGAATATTTAATAATTTGTGACTTTGTTATCTATATGTTTACTTTCCACTTTATGTATTATTTACATCTTATCTATTATCTTGAACTAGTGCAATCTGTGTGTACTTTAGTATTGTTTATTTTATATGTTTTTCCACTGCGATAACCATTGTAATTGCCATACTCTTAACGTACCATTGGTTATTCTTGTGACTTATATGAATGGTTAATAAAGTTCTATTCTATTCTATGCTATTCTATCGTAGTTTTATCTCTGTTTGTACAAGCTTGATTAACCCCGTAGGAGAAGCTTTGCTTGAGTCTACGGCGTACTTAGACACTGGCACATAATATGGCAAATTTGTAAGTTGACTGCTTGTTGCATACGTGCTGCTTTTTAAGCTTTTCCGTCATTATCCCTCCAACCGAAATCATTATAGGAATAATAATAATAATAATAATAATAATAATTATTATTATTATTATTATTAGTCACATCCAAATGAAGCTCATAAAATTCAAAGAAATTAACTTGCATTCAGATAATTCCTAAAAATTAATTTTCCTGCTACCAATAATAATTTTGTTAAGCCTCCAAAACTGCTACCAATGTAATTTTTCAATTGCCATCAAAGAAACTAGTACAAAAATGTTTGTTGCAAAATTTATTTATTTTCAACAGTTGTCACCATTTACAATTTCGATGGTTTCGTTCTTGCATATGCCAATGCTTCTCGCAGAGCAGACAACACAAATTCCACCTTTTCTGGAGTGGCATTGTAGCCCATTAGACCAATCCTGAACACCTGGCCAACGGTTGGTCCTAAACCACCGCCAACCTCCAGCTGGTATCTAGGCAGAATTTAACTATTAGAAAGTAACTGAAAAATCCTTACACTACTATAAATTGAAATAGGGTCTCATATTTATTTATTTTAGCAAGAAAGAACAAATTGTGGTTTAGAATATTTGTTGGTATACTACTTTTAACCATAAATATCTAAATTAATACTTAATTTTAACATTCAATTTTTGAACTAATAATACCTGATATATACCTCTAATGTTGAGTGTATTGTGTGTGGCCTGCTAGTTGCAAAGGTAAAAGTGTGTATGTTGTTCTGTGACAATTGTCAAAAAACAGCAATAATAGGCTTATCGAGTATAATGGGTAAGCCTTTTGATTTTCGGTAAGTTTTTGTGGAGACTTCTTGTATTTTAAACAATAAAATGGGAGGCCAGGGGTCGGACTTTATTCGTGGAGCAGAGTTAATTAATTACAAAAGATATCTAATCAAAATGAATAGTAGTTTTCTGTGATTTGCGGGGTTCCACTGGCTATGGACACTGAAGATTTGCTGATTTAAAAAAGGATTTTCAATTTAGAACTGTGGCAAAGCCATAGCTCCACAAACAACTTAATTTCATTTTTTAAATGTTTAGAATTTGACTAATACAAGTGGTTACTCGATGCTCTTTTCCGTACTCAAACTAGCTAAATTATTCTCTGCCATGTCACTAACGTACTGATTAAAAAAAGCAGGAGACCCAGAAGTGAGGTCATAAACGCTGACTTTCGCAAGGCTTTTGATAAAGTCAACTGTATTGATCAATAGGTCATTGAATGGAGACCAGACTAAATCTTAAACGAAATAGTATTAGCCACTAGAAATTTCGCCGACTTTGACAAACTCGTTGCACAGCCAAATATACCGTATGTGTAAAACATTACTAGTTCTGAATTTTCTCGGTTCATAAAATTCAGAGATATAATTGGCTGTGCAACCAGTTTGTTAAATCAGTAATATTTCGGTATATTTTTGAAAAATAGGACAAATACAGTGGCGTGTGATATGACCGTCAGACAATCTTTAAAATACCATGAGTAAAAAAATCCGGTCGTTCCTAAACCCGTGACTTATGTAGCGGAAATATCCGAAAGGGCTTGAGAACGTGGGTAATGAACTTGATGACTTAATTGAATATTTAAGAGTGGAGAGTAAAAAAAAGCTTTTGAAAATGTTATCTTTTAAGATAAAAAAACGGATAGTTCAGAACAAGATAATATCTAATGTATGCGTTGTACGTTAAATTTCCTTTCAAAATAAAAAAAATAATATTTATATAATCTCGTATATAAAAAATCATAAATATTATTGTTTTTCAGCAATAGCCAATTATTATTAGACTACACAAGTATGTGGGTTCTATTATATATCCTCAACCGGGTAATAAATAAATAAAATAAATAAATAAATATAGATACAGATATTTACTTTTCCATTATATAATCAAGAACCGTGTTCCAGTCCACGTCGGTTGGAACTTTAAGGGTTGTAACTGATGGAAGTCTGTCGTGTTCCTCTTCAACAAAGAATTCGAGTTTCAACTTCTCCAGGCCTCTATAGAGTTGACTCGCGCATCGCTGATGCCTCGCGATCACATTCTCTATCCCTTCCTGAGCAATAATTGCCAAGCCCTCTCTAAAGGCACATAGCAGATTGGAGGATACCGTATGATGATATCTAAAAATTAAAGATTAATAATTAATAGATTAATATAATGTGGAGGTCGTAAATACTGCAAAATGCTGTCCAGAAAGACCGTATTGGTTGAAATTTGAAATAACTCCCTTATATGGGAATATTGGCTATTCTTCTTTAAGATTGTATTATGTTGGTTTGAACTAATATCGGCCTATATATAAATCAGTTATTGAAAAAAATACAGGAGAAAAGTAAAATTTTGATCCGATGAAAATAATTATTCTTTTCCAAACTTGCCGCACATATAACTTTTGTGTTGACCGATTGTGCTCATATAAGAAATTGAGAAATAAAATAAATCCATATTATATTTTACTAGGAATTTGTTACATGGCATTTGATTTCCACGAAATGAATAAAAACACATATAGTTCTGGATCAGTTTGGTCTTTTTTAAAACTCCTTTGCTGCTTCAAGTTGATAGGAAAAAAATTACAATTACGGTTCATATAAAATTCCCGGGAGACCCTAACCTAAGCTTATTTTTGCCATGCTCAGGTCCAATTCATTATAAGCTATCGAATTTCCTTTTGGGGTAATCAGATATTTTTAAATTACAAAAACGAAAGTATCTTGGGGTTTCGTCCGAGTGCTTTCGATGTACCATTTTTTGGTAAACTTATAATACTAGGAGTTCCATCACTATATTTTGTTATGTTGGTGATAAAAAATATTTTGACCATATGCAGAGGGGACATTGTTTACACTTTTAATGAACGGTTGAATTCTTATTATTTGTATACTTTTAAATTTAATTATTATTTAATTTTTTTACTGTGTGGTGTACATTTTGTAATAATTAATATAATGTGTTTTAATTACATATTTTTTAAAGTAGTTTGGCGACATCTGGAGACGTTGCATTATCATACGTTGTCGGCAATATAGAATATTTCTATTATAAATACTGCCTGTGAAACAATAATAGAAATCCAACGATTTCCATGAAACTGAAGCTCCTAGTTAAATGTAAAACGCTTACTTTTCTAAACTCGCCAAACTTAAAGAACGCTTGCTGGTTGCCACCAATCGGGAACGTTCATAAAACATATTTGATAGATAAAACATTTATTTATCTCGATTATGTCTAATAGCTACTATATCTGATTAGAGAAAGATTTACCAAAAGAAGATTTTGTAAATGAATAAAGTTTCTTCTGCTATTTAGATACTTACATTCTGGATTTGCCTGGAAAGCAATCCCACTGTTGAGCCAGGAGAATTATATCCCAATAGTAGACTGGCACGATAGTTTTGCGGTGTAGTATTTTCGATCTGTAACGATACTTAATTTAAAAATATAGGGCTTTCACAGTCATTGTAAGTATTCATTATTTAAATTACTTACACAGCTGCGGAACTAAACGAGACAGGGGCCAGACCGGGAGGAGCTCCTAAGATTTTTTGCGAGCCAGAATAAATAGCGTCAATCTTCCATCTATCGACGAAGACTGGAACTGCACCAAGCGATGCTACAGTATCTACAGCGAATAAGCATTGGTATCTGAAAAGTTGAAAGTGCAGGTTCAGCTCTATTGTATCTTAAGCGAACAAATTTCTTCTCTGCTTTACTTGAAACGACCTGGATATCCAATCCTTTAATTCTCTACCCACCCTTCCTTCTACCAACCTGAAGACTATTTAGAAAAATATTTTTTTCACTAGGGCACTATGGATGCTGAGCCCTCAGATTTCCCAAAATCGTTAATTTTTGAAGACGTTTAACACAATCTGTTGTTATAGAGCCAACCCATAGATACGGGACAAAAAACATATTGAATTCAGGTAATTAGGTTTTACAAAATTCACTTACTTTTCTTTAAGTGTCGGAGAAAATGTTTTCAAATCTGAATTGAATAGCGATAAAGCAGTTTTTCTCCAGAATGGTCCGGTTGTACAATAGACTCAATGGTATTCTTAGTTGACGAGACACAATATGAAGGGTACGTCAGAAAAGATCAGACGATTAGTCAAAGGTTATGAATATGAAAACACACACGACACATCGAGTCAAGATAATGAGGCGTAATTTCAATTAAGCTCCTTCGTAGCAAACAGGAACAAAATTTTTAGCAATAAAAACGTGATGAATATGATTTGGCAACCACTAGTGGACAACTTCATAGTTAACTGTACCCAACTCGATCACATATGAAGAAGTAAAAAAAATACAGTGGGTTTCACAGTTAATTTAGTTTATTCTTTATCCTACATTAAAATAATCTACAATAAAATAATTTAGATAGGACCGGGCCAACGTCCAAATCTCGGTCAGCTAAATAAAATTCATTTTGGGTCAGAAACGTTTTATTTCGTTGACTTTCCAGGAAAAGCTTGTTGTAGAGAAGCTCGGGCAGTAAATTTCTGACTGAAACAGCGAGTCGTAAGATGATGTCCTTGGCTTATATTATAATCTTGATCATTTGTATTAGTCGGTAGAGGAAATTTGTTTTTGTGAATATTTATCAAACTGGCCCAGAGGTAAACATTGAATTTAATACAGAGGCTTTTAAAAACAGGACAACGGACATCTTTTGTACCAGCGTTCGCTAAAATGCGAATAGCTTTGTTCTGCTTTATAAACATCCCTGGAGATTCAGTCGAATAAGAAACATGAAATTCGATAAAACAGAGTAGGAGCTCTTAACCGTTTCAATCGCCAGACTCATGTGACTCTTTTTTATTTCAGAATAGTTGTCACAAGTTCCAATATACCGGTGTTTGTCCAGAACGAAATATAGAAGATAAAATGATAACAATTCTAGGCAGTTCTCGATTCATAAGAAATATGATTGACTTTTTCCAGTCAGACGCTGAAATATTCCATAAGGAATAAAGCAAAACACTGTGATAATAGATATACTGCAAAACTCTGCACTGGTGAGTAGTACAATGCCACAGGGCTAACTTTATTTCATTCGAAATTTTATGGAACAAATCTCTGTTTGACAAGTTCAAAACGAGATTGAGACTAACTGTTCCATTTCATGATTTTGACAGTATATATATATATATATATATATATATATATATATATATATATATATATATATATATATATATATATATATATATATATATATATATATATTTTTCACGTATTGATTCACGGATGGAAAAATGTGATGACACTATATTCCGGGATATCATCCGTTCGCTTGTTGAACTCCGACTGGAATCCTGCAGACGTTTCGCCAAAATCTCACTTGGCATCTTCAATGCTCGCGCTCCGAAAACACTTCGAACACACAGTGGGATTTTGGGGAAACGTCTGCAGGATTCCAGTCGGAGTTCAACAAGCGAACGGATGATATTACGGAATATAGTGTCATCATATATATATATATATATATATATATATATATATATATATATATATATATATATATATATATATATATATATATATATATATATATATATATATATATCAAAGAAGTCGAACAAAACAGATTTATTACTACATTCAAAATCATGAAATCGAACAGTTAGGACGCCATTATATATATATTATAGTATTATTGTTTTACATTACCTTTTGCAAATATCGCCAATGCCTTCTAACGGCTGATAAACTCCTGTCGTACTTTCTCCCTGAATTGTAAACAGAACTTTCGGTCTAAAACTCTCAATCGCATGTTCGATCTCGCCCAAACTGAAATTGCGCGACAATTTCGATGTTAATTTTTTAACGACTCCACCTGAAATATACCAAGCTTATGAATACATTTTAACAATGAATTTTTGGACCGAATAACAAATAATTAGTTATTTGTTAATTAAACTAACAATTAATCAGCATTAGAAGTTTTTACAAAACTTCTGGATTCCTCCTGCATCGGTTTTTGCTCAATCGAAATTGCTGACGTTTCGCCAATCATCGTGTTAGCGTGTGGAAGATTTCTTTGACAAATTAGCATTAGAAGTTGTATCAGAAGCAGTTTAGATGGTGATTTTAGTTATAAAATGACTTTGGGCAAATGTAACGAAGAATTTCCGACTAAGGCTGAGGTCGGATCTACTGTTAACCGTGACCACATTCGTACGGTAGTAAATAAATTTCGACTTGGAGTACGTAATGAGAGAGTAGAAAGGCTAGCGCAGTTTTGCATTGATAATAAATTTATAATAATTAATACAACGCACAAACACCATAAAAGAAGGTTTTATACCTAGCCTTCAAAGGATGGATTACATAAGAACCAAATAAAATATATCCTTATTGAATCACGCTGGAGATCATCAGTGCACAACACAAATACTGTGGCAGTATAAAAAACTGCGCAGTGGCTAAAAGACTGGTCTAACTCAGGCATTATACCTCCTCATGAGAAAGTTGCTATCAGCAGATATAACAACTATAGACTAATATTACATAGCCGCAAAATCATGCCGTATGTCATCCGATATAAGACTAGCACAGTTTGCCACCGGTTAGATAGCCCAGGAACAGGATTTTCAAATATTAAATGTTCGCGTTCTTATTGAAAAAGTTTGCGAAAACTACCCGCCTATATACCTCTGCTTTGTTGATTATGAAAAACAGTTTGGCACCCTTGCATCTAGAAATATTTATATATCAAGATAACTCGAACCAACCCTAAAGTAACCATTTCAATAAAATTTGGAAGGTAAAAGTTGTTTATATTGCTACAAAAAGAATTTGAACAACTTAACTAGTGCGGTGCGTAAGGAGGCTATCGCTGCAATATTTTTCTTTTATAGCAAAATTAAGATGACTGTTTAGTACCTCATGATCGTTTGTCGATTTCGATCTCTTTACGTTTACGTTTAGGTTGTGTTATGTCCTGTATCCAATATATATTTTTTTAAAGATTTTTAGGGCTGTTAATTTTTACGAATATTGGTTCTATTTGTTTTAACAGTTCTTCAAGTGCTTGTACCAGTGTCTTATAAACAAATATTCGCAGAAAAAAAATCTAAAGGATTGAAGACCGGGGATTTTGGCGTCCATGCTACAGAAACTCCGCTACCAATCCAACGATAACCGACAGAGCAAATTAGGGATTACCAACGCCTCCGTTGTTAGAAACTCTGAAGTGGTACCTTTGGTTTACCTGGGATCTTGGCTGCAAAATAACGGAAGCAGTGAAATGGAGATTGTTCCAGCGACGAGTCAACTAACCAAAATCTGAAAGGACCCAATATATCTATAAAAACAAATATAGGACTGATTAACTGGCACACATCGGATACGTGTACTATAAAGATAGAAGAATTGATGCTTTTGAAATGTGGCGTTGGCTCAGGCTTTTGAGAGTACCATGGACCACCAAGCGCACCAATGTGTCTGTTCTAAATGAAATTAAGCTCACACATAGCATGGTGTCATCTAATATTGTATATTATTTGGACACATATCACGGCATGATAATATGGAACAATCAATGGTACAGGGAGTGGTTGAAGCAAAACGATGTTGCAAATGCTCGCTTAGCCTGTGGACGCATATAGTATTCCCTTTGAAAGCATCAAAATAATAAGCAAAAATAGCGAGTGGTGGCGTCTAATTGACGAACAAGTTATAAGCCGACAAGGCCAAGCAAATAACATTTAATGGTCACCACGCGTCTTTAACGACGTTGGATATTTCAAATCACGTTTGTTACGACCTATCTAGTCGGATCTTTTATTTATGCATTTAATTATATCATTTAAGGTTTTTTGAAAATATTAAAGAAAAAAAAACGATATTTCTAAAATAAATTCTTTTTTTATTCAGTAAAAAAGTGAAATCCAAGTTAAAAAACATGAAAAAAACATTACTTTGACTTTTTTCAAGGAAATTTTTGTCTTTTTGCTGCGTTGTTCGGACATTCGGCTGTATGTTTTTAAGGGCATATCCCTTTTTAACATCCAACATTTACCTTGGTATCGAAGTTTTGTTTCCTGAATGTCATGGTGAAACCTCTCTCCTTGTTTTTCGTTAACTGCTCCAGGGTTTCGAGGAAAATAGTTCAAATATAATAACAAGAAATGCTCTTTCAAACTCATATTACAACCTAGACGACGAAAGTGTTGTAATATATATTGAACAATAATTTCGTAGTTTTCATCCTTAGAGTTCCCAAGAAAGTTATCAATTACTTCTTTAAATTTTAAGTTTTTCTCCACATTAATCATTAATCATATCATAAATACCTTCTTTTATCTTCATCACCATCATCATCATATATGGCTGAAAATTTGTCACACAAATATTTGCAACACTGTCCATTTTTGTCTAGGGCTTTAACAAACTGCTTCATCAAGCAGAGTTTGATATTTAGAGGTGGCAGTAAATCTTAATACATTTCTACTTCCAGGTGTAAGGCTTGTTCTAGAGGGCCATTCTATCCTAAATTTCCTTACGTTTCTTACGAATGTTCAACGGAAACCGAAGCCAGTTCGTTACCATTGTGCAATAAAACGCCTTTCAAACTACTCTTACTTGATCAATAAACAGGTGTCATTCTTCTTTTATATACGGCACATTTCCTAATTTTGAAACTAAGACAGGAATATTGTTGCAATACACGAGCGGTCCTTCCTAAGTAAAAGTAGCATAACTCTTTTTCGCGATCCCGATAAAAGCTTGATATGACGCCAGAAGCCAATAAATGCTTGTCACGAAGTCTGGACGCTAACAATTCGCATACAGCCTTTGCCAAGATTGGGATGCACAATTTGTTCCTTATTTTTTCTGTTGAATCCTTGAACATTACAAGAACAAAAATAACAATCATCACTGTAATTCCTAGGTTCTCGCCATACCATAGGAACACGAAAGCTTTCTTCCTACCTTTTTCCCGGCTTCTTAATGCTTCGACGCACAAAAGAAGTTAGTTTGCTTTTGCGTTTCTACGACATAACTATCACAGATATTGCAAAAGCCATGTGGATCGTGCATTCAAGGCCTTTTTTTTTTCATATTTGAATGTTCTAGAATACTAGAAATACGCAACAATGAAGTCAACAGCCGCGAACACAGTAGCATGATGACCAATACAACTAAACTGAGCATAAGCAGGTTACAAAGCTGTAACTCTGTTGCTTTGCATATCATTCAGTGTTGTGTTTAATTTCATAAAAATCATTTAATTATTTAAAAATCATGCCAAACATGAAACAAACATCTTCATGTCATAAGTATGTATATTAATATAATAACATTTTTAAAATACAGCTTTCAAACCTCAAAATTATTGTAGACCTGTGTAATTCAAACTTAGGCGCAATTTTACCCCAAGCGGAAGCTATTTTGGAGTATAATGCAAACTATCATTATTCCCCTGTATACGTAAATATGCCACTGACATAATTTCTTATTGGTGTAAGACCTCTACAGCTGTAAAACTGATGCATCATACAGGATGTTTTAAACACGTAGGGCGGCTATCGATTTCAAGAAGACGGAAATTATATCTGAAATTTTAAGGTCCGGATTACCTTTAGATGCTGCTGGCCAACGTAACAGGCGTTGCTGTATGACTCTAAAATATTTCTAAAAATACCTTTTGCACTGACCTATTGCAAGCGATTATAGTGGTAATAAATAAAAAAACCTTAAAAGAATAGAAAATTTTAATGAATAAGTAATTCTTAACTTTTCGGTCTCTAAGTTTGTTTCTTTCAAAAATTAATTACTTCTTTTGTTAAATAGTTTCAGGAAACGTATTTAACTTATGTACGAGGGCAGCGCCACAATTTCCCGTCCTGAATAGAAAAGAAACAAAGTAGAGTAACAATTTTTTATTGTTTTTCAATATAATCCCCCTTAACTTCAATACACTTATTACATATCTTTATTAACAACTCAATCCCTTTAAAAATGTATTCTTTGGGTTTGTCTGCAAAATGAGCTAAAACAGCCTCTTTTAACTCAACTTCGTCGTTAAACCGCCGTCCACGTAAGTGCTTTTTCAAATATCCAAACAAATAATAATTGTTGGGAGCCATATCTGGACTATAGGGAGGATGATCTATCTGTTGGAACCCACACTCTAAAATGGCAGTTTGTGCAACACCACCAGTATGAACAGGTGCATTATCGTGCAAAAGACGCACGCATCTGGTCAGTTTTCCCTAGACGTTTTACACGTATGCAGTCTCGCAATTTATGTAATCATGTTGCGTAATATTTACCATTGACAGTGGTATTAGTTTCTTTAAAATCTATCAAAAGAATTCGTTCACAATCCCAAAAGATCGTGGCCATCACCTTTTTTGTTGACTGGCTGACTCTGAATTTTCTTGGAGGTGCTTCACCCTTACGACGCCACTCCATTGATTCTTTTTTCGATAGGGGGTCATAATAGAGAACCATAGCTTCATCTCCCGTCACAATAGTTTCTATCACAGGCTTAAGTTCCGACCCACAGAGTTCCAGAAAATACCGCGCACACTCGTCACGGCGTTGTTCTTGAATAGCTGAATGGTTTTTAGGAACCCATCTTGCACTAACCTTATGCATACCTAAATGATCATGCAGGATTCGACGAACACTTGTATCAGAATGCTTAGTAATTTCCACAATCTCAACAATATCTTCCGTTATGATCTAAACTGGTCGACCAGTTCTTGAATCATCTTCAAGGGACTCCTGCCCCATTCGAAAACGTTTTGCCCATTCTTTCACTACAGAATACAAAGGAGAATATTCGCCGTACATACCATCCAGCCTTTCTTCAATAATTTTAGGTGCAAACCCTTCTTTTGTCAAAAACTTTATGACTGCTCTATACTCATTTTGCGTTATTTGCGACATTTTTTCGGACACGTCTTGTTTAAAAAAAACTATATATAAAAAAAAACTATTTAACGCAAGACTTCAAATTTTTTTCGCAGCCTACTAAGATATATAATTAAAAGAAAACAAAGTTTTATCGTGATACTTGAGCTGCATCTATGTCAGGCCGGGAAATTTTGGCGCTAACCTCGTATATATAAATTATGGGACTAATCACACTAGGTAAATTTTTTTTACAGATTTATTTTTTGCCTAGTCAAGTGATATAGATAAGCAATAGGGAGGAGAAAAGGGCATTCGGTATTGCGAAGGAGTTTGCTATGTTTAAACGCTTACCGTATCTTGTAGCCAAGTCAGCTATCCTATTTCCCCAAAGTCCGTTTGCCGTGATTAAAATTTTGTCACCGGGTTCGATCAAATTGCAGACTAACGCTTCCATGCCGCCGTGTCCGCTCGCAGAAATACATAGTGTGACCTCGTTTCTAGTTTGAAAGACGTATTGAATGCCTTTCTTAATTTCATCCATTACCTAGATGATCATAAATATACTTTAAAAAGCAGTAGTTTTACTTTCTCTGTTTTATTTCGATTCCTTTACCGGAATTGTATTTCTAAATTTCAAGAACTTATTTTGTTTTGATTAATTACTATTTGTAATTCTAAAAGGTTGGTGTAAATTTACCAAATTAATAATACAGAACGTATGTTTTTAATATGTTTTTAAGTCAAACCCACCAGTCTAATATTTCATATGGAACTCTCCAGATTCCCAAAAATACCATACAAGTTATAATTGCTGCGAAAATCTTATTGGGAAAATGGTTATGAGTTCTTGCCAGCTAAGTTTCGAATGACTAATGATTTGGGTGTCGTGATTTAGGAAATTATTGCTGTATAGTTATAGTCCCACCTTGATTTTCCAATTTACTATTGCCATAATATGTGGCAAAAAGATTCCTGTCAGGGTATTTAAAACAGACCCAACAATGTTTAAGGAGGTGATTCCTCAGACCAGAAAAACTTATCCGAGAGGTGTACCGCATTTACACACGCTTCCTGCCTTTCTGGATATGAACGATATTCGTGAGATTTTGACACTAAGATACAGAAATCGCTGGATTGGCTGAGAAGTACCTTAGTTATGGCCTGCACTATCCCCGAATTTAAACCCTGTGGATTTCCTATAAGGCTACTTAAATTAGAAACGTGGACATGTAATAAAACAGTTTTTATTTTTTTATATGCCATAAAGGAAACAAGATATGAGAAAAGGTTAATTGACGAAAAAGTAGTAGTTTTAGTTGCTCTGTCTGGGGGAAGTATCCAAATTATATTAAACTCAGTGGTATACATTTTTATCAATAAATTTTATAAAGTTGTACCCCCCCCCCTCTTCGTTTGTGTTCCCTTAGAAGATATCTTAATTAATTAATTAATGGGAACCTTTTTCACAAAATAATTTGAGAAATCCCCCCTTGAATATTTAAAAAATTGGAGATATAGGTTTTATTTTTCCCTTGCGTTATTTTATAATTATAAAAATAAGATATTTTTTGGAGATTTCGTTGGATGAAAGGTATCGCAATATTTTGCTGGGTTTGGTGCTCTACAGGAGCCAAAAATGAAATATGTAATAAAGTATTGTAGTCAGATTTCTCTAACATAGTTAAAATATCACTTTGATTTGAATAAGACGTTCCATTTAATTGGTACAATCCTCTGTTTTTTGGTGAGTCGAAATAAATCCAAAACTTATTTCAAGTTTTGAAGGAATTATGGCTGGAATAGTGCTGCAAATATTGTAAATTTTATTAGAAAATACAATTTTCAATAAAAAATAGGCCAGATATCTTTATTATAAATTTTATGTTTGCCCCAATATATTTTGAAACAAAGATGGTACTCATTATCTCAAGTTTTCGAATCGTTCAGAATTGCTTTATTTATCAATGAATGTACGCGTTCAAATTAAATCAGAACAAAACGAACTCTCTTGTGGTTTAAAACTTCAATATGACGCGCATGCGTGAAAAGGTCTTCGTATGGCTGAAAAAATTTAAGTGTGCCTTCGGCTGTCTTTTTAAATAATGCCACAGTTATCTGCAGAACTACCGCAAATTTTAAAAATTTCTAAACTGAATTTTGCTAGGAAATATAGACAGCACGAATTAGGGGGTGGGGGTCGAATTAGAGTTACCCTGTATTTTACAATCCGGCATATATGCAATACAAAAAATATTATTATAAGAATATCTTTTTGTCGGCATTTAATTGAAGAACAAACTAATTATTAGATATGTTCTAATTATTTAATTATTTATAAACTTGCCTGGAAGGTCTCTGGATGCATGTGTCCGATGACTGGCTGAGCAATAGCCCGAAGGACCCTTGGAGCAGGATTGGAGGGTCCTGGTCCCATAAGGATTTTATTCGGAACCCTCAGAGGGTTAAAAAGTTCTTGAGGCGGGGCTACGTCCATGTTGAAACTAAATCGCTTGGGCAAATCGGACTGACCAGTACTAACTGCGGCAATATGCACAAATGTTTTAAATATCTATAGAGGCTTTTACAGTGGCGGCGTAAGAATGTTGTTTTATATTCATATTGAAAAGACCATATTAATAATTAGAATTGATGCGGAACATTCTGGGAAAAATTAGAACTGATAAGATCAAGAATAGCTAATGCTATAGCTATGAAGTGTCCCAAAGATATACGCTTATTTTTATGAAAGTTTACCTTCAGCCAAATTTGACGTTGCCGCCTTTTCATATCGGTCATGTCTTCATAAGTAAAATAGGTCATCCTTATCAATCAAAACGCCGCGATGGCTCAACTCATTAAGGTTCAAACTAGGACTGTCAGCAATTGGTCTGTCCGTCACTGGGACCAAAAGAATCTATTGAGACTCTCTTTAAAGCTACAAGTTTATTGCTTCTGGTTTTGGTTACGCTCAGCCAAATGGAAACCGACTATCGGTATTCCCTTCATTCACATTGGCATAGCACTGTGCGGAGATGCCTCTCAAGTCTGCAGTGGCCCGTCAGTAGAAATTATTAAGGACGTTTCCTTGTAGATTTGACTGATGGATTTCTGTCCCAGCATGTCTCTCTACCATTGCTGGTATTCTCTTTCCATTCATTTTTTGATGTTGATGTTGCAAGCCACCTTAAGCTTCTGGTACTTACGAAAGTGTCTTTTTTTTACTTGCTATTTCGTTTAATGCATTATTATAATTTGACGCATAACTTTGAATTGGAAGGATATATGTAACGATATAACATATTGCGTCAAAATTTCTGTTACTACTTTCAACATGCACTACCTCAAACAAGATTTGAAAGTGATTAATTTCACAGAATATGTGAAAATTGAGTTTATGCATTTTTCGTATAGGACAATTCGAAATGCAGCACTTGCCCGCGGCTTAAGGCCTTTTCAATGCCTATAATAAAGGCAATTTTAAAGCCAACATGCAAAAATGGTGAAAAGGAACATTTACTGTGAGCATATGCTTGTTATTTGCGGCTTTCAAGACTCAAAACGGACGTCACATCAATTTAATAGTTTGGCTACAGCATTTTCTCGGCAGTACTTTCTCATAATATACCTAGTTATCAGAGAAAATATCTACTAAATGCAGGTTAATGTGTGAAATGTAGAGCATGTGAGAAAGTGTTCGAAAAGGTCGTAGCCGCCTGAGATGCATCAATTTGTTGATATTAACAGTCCCTATACTATCTAACAGTTATACAATAAAAGATTACAACAGTATAACTATTATAAAAAAAAACTCTTTATATATATGCACCGCATCGATCATTCCCGTAAACTAAATTTAACGAAAACATTATGTAATGACAATTTTTTTTTTATTATTTAAAAACTTTTATCGGCCGCAATTGTTCAAATTCTTTCCGTTTGAAAATAACCAAATAAAGTCTAAATCGCGTAACGAGAAAAAAATATGGATCTAGTAGGCTGCTATCACTTCATAAGGCGTCTATATATTGCCGTCTACTCTTAAGTTTGTCTTTTCGGATGAAGCTAGTGTTTGAAAGGATGCAATTCAAAACTTTCACAACAAACATTAAATGACAGAATGACAATACCAGTTTACCGTTTAAATTTTCCTAGGAATTTTGGGATTACATTCTTCGCTTTACTAATATTTGCATTTTCGTTATCGACAGGAAAAGCTACGTAAGGTCCTTTGCTAGAAAATTATATGAATGATAAACGTTTTTAAATCGTACGTATTAATAGCGATGGATAAAGTGGTCCCCAGAATTAAATCCCTTCGAATTTAAAATTGACTACTCCAAATTGACTCCACTCAATGATACGTAGATAAGCGCATGTTTTAATAACAGTTACTATAAAATGTTAATTTTTTTAATGCTTTAGGTGTCTTGCTCATTTGTTGTGTTTTTATTTGAGTTACGTACATCGGACAATGTTGATCGTACAACGTACAACGTAGATCAATTACTTTCAAAAATATTTTTGTATTTTTTTTACATATTCACTCACCACCAGTGCCCGACAACTCAACTCAAATTTTCAATCAACAAGACCCATCCTATGTGAAAATTAAGAATTCTCTACGAAAATACCTTGGCGCATCAATTTTTACCATCTTAACAATATTATCTGCCTTGCAGTTTCTTGAAATGAAATGTTGGTCTATACCTTGACATTTTCGTATTGCTTGGCAAAAGGGATGTACAAACTTTCATACCTTATTTTGTTAAAAGATATATTTAAAATACTACGTGATTCCGCCGCTGCTTTGGCCGTTTAATCGGTTCTGTGTTATCGTATTGTTTTATAAATGATTAGCTGTATCAAACCCAAAATGTCAATATTGGATGTTTTGTTTTAGACGAGATGAAAACAGTCGGTTCATCGGGTCGGCAAAATATCTCATTGATGTAAAAGAATGCAATGTTTTGGGACTACCAACAAGCCATCGCAACCTTTGCTATCTTTTTACGTAAAGAAGTTTTAATTATATCCGATACGAGAAATTATCTAACAAAAGGTGCAGTTGGGGTTATTGATCACATTATGTTATATAAAGCGGTTGAATAAGATAATGGATTCTAAAATGGCTACGTTACTACAGCCACAAAAGAGAGATGACTCCAACAGTACTTATATAGGGTGATCCATAATACAACGCAGCCACCAAAAAACCATCCTCTTGAAAATAATAATGCGTTTAGTTAGCTTTCTCTAGATCAAGCTGTTCTTAAAATTTCGAGATGAAAACTTCGATTCGGGCGTTTTTCAAGGTTGTGAATACGACTAAATTCCATTTTCTCACATAACATAGAGAAAGTGCTAGTTACACCCTATAATCTAATTATTTCATAACTTTTTATTAGTTCCGTTCCGTTATTTTTTTTTAATTATGATAGTGATATGCAAATAACTTGTATTCGAGGTATTTTTGCTAATGTCGATGTGAAAGTGTTAACTAATCCATAAGCCTATATCCATTCCTAATTGACTATTCTTGAGCCATTTGATTTTATTTGGAAAAAAATATTACTAAGCAAATATCATGAAAAATGTGTGTTTCATCAGCATAAAAGTCACATATCTTTTAATTTTGGAAACAGTCACTTGTCCCACCTCCAAAATTCAAGTTTAAGTTTAAACATAACAATTTCGAGAACTAATTTGTCACACTCTATGACTTATTAATGGAGCATTTACTAATGCATATTGGTTAATATCAAATATGCGTTTGTATGATATCGTCCATTAACATACAGGGCTGGCGAAAAATTAACCAATTTTTAAAATTGAAACCAATGGGAAAGTGTTCAAAACTGTCGGTTTTATAGAAAATTTTTACTTAGAAATCTTCATTCTATCCAAATGTTAAAAAAAGTTACGAAACAGGAAATTATGTGAAACTGTCACTTTCTATATAACAAATGAAATTTTCGATATGTCGAAAACTGCTTGGGCCAATTGCTACCCTATATTTCGCTAACGAGAGATTACCATTACCATTACCATTGTCTGGCTCAATATCAATATCTTAATGAGTTTTATAGACGATATTTTAGTAAAGCGACTGTTAAGGCATATGCAAAACCAAGCGATTTTTAAATAAATGAGTATTTGAAGAGGTTTCTAGATATATTGAGGGACATGATACAGATACTCAAAATACCATCTACTTTTTAAATATTTATCCCATGGCCAAAGTACCGTAAACACTCGAATGGGGTAGCGACAATGTTTAATCTGGCCATTTAATCCGCGCATCATCACTTTGAAGTAGGGAATAGATTATACATATTTTTCTAGTAGAAAAAAACAAACCGAATTTTAATTTAAATTGTTATCTCGAATACGCTAACAGATACAGGCAAAGACAAGCAACGATTACCTCCATCACAATCCTTTAAATAATTGTTCAATTTTAGTACTTAAAAATTATGCTGAAGGATCTAAAATTTTTGGTTTTCGATTTTATTTTTATACCGGTTTACTATAAAATTTAGAAAGAATCCGCCAACAATGTCTCATTGGAACTTGGAAATCAAAAGTTGTGTATATCGCTGATCATAATTGTTATTTTGGGATCGTTGCTTTGAATTTCTCATTCATTCGTCGTTGAAGACTTAATTCAGTACTCAAGAAAAGCGGAATATGATGAATATTTATTGCAAAAATTTTGGTAAGCAAAATTAACTTACTAAATCTGATAAAAATGTAAAGCCCTGTATTTTGGAAGCTATTCGGTGTAGATATTTGGGGTAAAAAAATTACCACCCAAGTGGCCAAAGGAAAATATTTGGTCGCTAGTAGAAGTAACCGCCATTTTAAATTTTTAAAGTAATTTCTCTCTGAAATTTACATAAACAACTTTTTTGTTAGTTTTTGACGTATTTAGATGAATTAAGGCAGTGGTAGAGACTCAAATTTTTTTCAACTCTACATCTGAGAAAATTTTATATTTTTATATTTTGATTGTCCACTTTGTATTCTTATATGGTTGCCCTGTACAATAACAATTTGCTTTGGTTATTTATGTACTGTGCGATCAATGTCCATACTTCTTAATACTCCCCAATATTCATCAAAATCCATTCAATAATTCATCTAGAAAATTCTCCTCCTTAAAAAATAAACCCAACATTTTTATTAGTCCACCGATACTATTTGTCTCACCGATATGTAATTTTGACCTAATTTGGGCTACTCTGAATGTCCTACTCTACTATCGAATGGATGTGTGGCGAATGCCCCAGTACATCAAGAAACTAATGGAGTAACGGTACGAAATATGGAAAGGACCCATCACAGGGTTTCCTACATTGCAACTGTACTGAAGGCTGCAATGGACAACGTTATACAATCATCAAAAACCATTAATCTTAATAAAAATCTTGAAACCCTAAGATTTTAACTATTTCAGTGATATTTTTATCAGTAAATTCGATTACTGAAAATTGAAGTAATTCCGCCTTATTTAAGTGATTATCGACATCATCGATATGCAGCTTCCATGACCAGAATGCTTGAACGCATCTTTCCTGGCGTTCTTTTATTCTGGTTGATATTTTTCGACCTGTTTCCCCCATTCCTTGTTGGCCACAGCTGCACGGTGTGCTGTAGGCACCTGCCGTCTCGGCAGGAATTTTATCTATTACCGATCGTAGAGGTTGGCAGATTTTAGGCCAAATAGAGAATCTAGATTTGAAGTTATGTTATTTTTTTCATAATTTTTGCAATTTGGTCAGTGACATTTTGAACATATCGAAGTATTACAACGGATCATTTACAGAGTTACCTTGTGAAGATGATTTTGGATATTTTTTAATTGACCGTCTGATATCTTGATGACGGAAGTTGTTTGAGAGACTAATTTAGGTGAGATATTAAGAGATTCGGGTTGAGATGGAGATATTGTAGATCCGAAGACAAAGAAAGTACTCAAGGGGAGGTTATTAGTAATGAAGTTTAACTTCCGTAAAACCCCCTTAATATGGGCGTCATCTTATTATACATACATACATCTTATTATACATTACATACATTATACATAGCGACCAGACTTCGTAAGTTGTCTGTAATAGTATTGCCTGGTTCAGATCAAGCAGACCCAGTAAACACGATTTTAAGACAAAAACAAAATTGCGACAGATTTTTCACACGACAAACAAAAATGTACAAAGAAAATTTGATGCGAATCAATTATTTAAACATGTGGCGTTTCGACCACGAATAAAATTTTAATATTATAGATTTATTTACAACCGTTACTGTCCTCTTCATCCGGTGGTGGAAAAATTTAACGCAAAGGTTTTTGGATAGGAACTATTTCAAAAGAGCGAGAAAGTTTTTCCATAAAAAAACTGTTGGTTCAGTTATGTGATCTCGAACGTAGTCGTGAGATTCTCTCAAGCTGTAAAAACTTAGCACAGCGATGTTTGTAATCCTAATTTTTTGTGTCCAATATTTTCTCTGTTATACTGTTTTTTCCCTAGACATTTTTTTGCAACGAGACTGACTAGTACAACACATCAGCACTAAAATTAATTCATTTACCACTGATTGGCAGATCTCCTACTTTTGTCACACACCGTCCACACTGAGTCAACGACTTGTAAAATATGCTTGCAAGACAGAGATTCTTCGATCTTTACAGTTTCTTTAAGTTTCTAAAATCGGATGTCATAAAAATATCCCCAGTAATCATTTTATTATCTCATGGTGTGAATGAGACATAACAACTTCAGTTTTGAATACAAATTTGTCAATTATAGATTTAAGCTATCAATATACAAAACTAATTAAAACTGCGAACGTTGTTAGTCGGTACTTTAGGGGATGACGTCAGAATATAGTCAGTCAGGTGCTTCTCTTGGCAGGTTAATTTTAGTACTCCGACAAATACCGATTTTATCATGATCACTTTGAAGTATTCGTTCGGTGCTTATCCTGTCTATATGTGGTTTCCATTTTTTCTGATTTTTTCATTGCCTATTTCGTTTCTTCTAGTTGAGCCTTTAGGTATTTTAAAAAAATTCTTTTCGTGAGTCTGGATTCCGCTTTCATCTTCTTTTCTTTTTTGTTCAAAAGCTAAGTATTGGCTGAAATTTTATTCTGACATTTTATAATTGTTTTGCTGTAATATAATTTTGTTTATGTACTTTATACTTTTATACTTGTTTTGTACAGTAATTTATTATTTGACTTTTATTGCTAGGTGGTACATTTGCAATGTAAATACTATTTTTTATAGTTATAGTTCTTATGCTACATAAAGTACAAATTTATTTATTTATTTTTTTCGACATAGAGATACACATTGCAAGTTTTCTAATTTTTCCAAAAACATATTATTTATGACGATTTTTAAACGTATTGGTTGTGTTCTACTACATTTAATTGAACCAAAAATTTATTTTCTGATAAATGCGATATTCAGATAATTTATTTAATTTTTTTTTTAAAGCTCTAAGTTTTATGAAAAAAAAAATGCAGGAGACAAAAATATTTCTGTTATACATAATGTTTTATTATTCTATTTTCTTTCTTAAGATAAAATATAAAAACACTTTTTTTGTTATATTTTCACACAAAGTTTGTATAACAAACGAGACTTCTGACCTACTCCCCTACTCTCTATTTCTGTATACTACGATTTGTGCTTTAAGCCTTTATTTCTATTTCTATTTAATGACGCTTTTCTATTCACTGATGATTGGTTGATTCATTGACGTAGAGAAAGTTCACAAACTCTAAATTCAGTCACTAAAAGGGGCACACCGGATGCAATGATTGGATGGATATTTAAAATGCTCTCCAAAAGAGTTATACAAATTCGCTGAATAAATGAGACAATTAGAGGCCAAGTGACTAAAGGCTGGTTTACCACCGCTCTTGTAGAACATGAGGTGCTATTGAGTGCCTCAATAAGAAAACTGCATGATTTAGTCATTCTACAATCGGTAAATTAGAATGCACGCTTTGCTAACTTATATGAACTGCACAACAAATGATTGAATAATGGTGTACGTACCATAATTTGTTCATCAACGTCAGCAAGACCCATATGGTTCTTTTCACAAGGAAAGGGAAATTAGATGACTTGGTCGCACATGGAACATCATAACTGTCAAGGTGTATCGAGGTGACGTTGATATTATTTCCATTGCAGGAAATGCAGCATGGCAGAATCGCGCATTTAATAAAGGGACGATATCGGATTTCAATGCATCAAAAATTTTATTCGACAAACCCTACCAAGGCGGTAGACTTAATTGATGGTTTGAAGAGTAAAAAGGGATCGGGATGCGGAGTGTATTCCAAATCCATCAAATTTAACTAGGGGTAAGATGCTTAGTGTGCTACAGAACGAGTTCGGTGGCATTACTATAGCAGCAAAAGAAATCATCAGGCGCCAAGTTATTGGTTAAAATGTATGCGTCTATTTAGTTGGCAGAAAAGCAGTTTTGCTAGTTCATAGACCTCGTTTTACATCCGAACTAGGACCAGTATGTCACCGTGGCCTCGTTGACGTGCAAGTCGACAAGAACGTAGGCATTCCAGAGGAAATCATGCCTCCAATTTGCTGCGTTTATAGGATCGCAGCCTTCTGTTGGTCTGGTGGGTGCGCAAACAACAAGATGAAAAATTAGAAGATATTCTTGCACGTCCTAACTTGCCTATCCATCCGCTAAGGTAATCAGAGAGACGACCCATGGAGTCGCTAGGCTATCCGGAGTGCCCTGTCCAAGAAGAAGCACAATGACGTTGCTGAGGTCTATGGTCTTCTATGCGGCTAATATATCTATTTAACAATTCTTTATGCACTCCTGTGATCAAAGAACTCTAACCAGGCTACCTACTGATGCGAATAATAAAATTCAAGGTATTCGTTAGCGAGTCATCTTTATTTAAATTTTTGAATTGTAGTTAATAAATAATAAATAAAATAGAACTCGTTTTAAACAAGTTATGGTACGTTAGAATTTACACTAAAATTATGAAAAGCATACACAAATTTCAAGCGGATAAATAGAAATATAAAACTTAACCTAACACTTTTATCGGGCAATAAAATTGTAAACACCGATTTAAAAAACGAGTAAAATCTTAAACGAATTTTTACATAAATCACCGGATATACAAATAGTTTGAGAAATTCACAAAATTCAATAAATATGTAAGTCTTCCTAACTACTCGGAAAATGCGCGTAATAGAGAACATTAAAATTTTCTGGAATATATTTTTTGAGATGATTATTATTACACCTATAGTTTACTTCAACATTAAAATATATAAAGAGAAGTTTCGATAAAATTTTTGAACAATTAAAACGTTAAACTTTTAGCGATATAATAAATACGGTATAGAGACGGTCAGACGTTGAAAGTGTTTTTCTGGCCTAGACTTTATCAACGTTAAGGTTCCGAAGCCATTCTGATCCTTGCCGATTCTCTGGATTTGTTGTGGATCTCCGCTGTTCTTAAGGTGATGCCGAAAATGTCTTCGTGATATCTGTTTTGGTCCTACAGGAACGACACATGCACAGAAATAAAACACACTCTCTCTAACGAAAATGGTCCTTACTCTCAAAGATAGCAGGAACGATTGTACTTCGTTATCGCTCATTCCGCCGAACTTTTGAATGATTTTCTTTAATGTTTGATACACGTGCTCCGCCATCGTGCAGTCACCGCAGACGTAAAAATGTCCCTCCTCAATCACCAGCAACTTATAAATCTCAGCCGCGTCTTTTAAAATCAAATCTTGAACGTAAGTCTAAAACATTAAATTGTTGACGTGCAGTTCGAGTGGTAGATCTTAAAATTACTTTGTTGATGGTCGGTTCCCTGGAGAGCGCCAAAAACACTCTCTCCAAAATTCCTTCCTGTACCATTTCTTGCTTCTCCTCCTTGTAGAGATCCATTTCTTTAGTTCGGCAACCGAAGAACAACCACATTTTCCCCGGGTTTGGTTTCGACTTGAGCTGCGCGTAACGGTGCTGCCAAAATGCCCTAAATGGAGCTATCCCAGTGCCAGGACCGACCAGAATGATCGGCTTGGAAAGGTCGGTGGGGAGATTGAAGTTGGGAGCTCTAAAGGAAAAGGAAATTCAATAGAATTCTAAACAAAAAATCAAATGGTTGTATTCCAATATTACCCTCTGACAAAGAGGCACACGTCCTGTCCGACTGGCAAATCTTGGAGATAGTTCGAACAAACCCCATAGTGTTCCGGTCCTTCGCCGCCTGCAAATAATTCCCACATAAAAAATTATCCACTGAATACGGGAAATATTTTGAACGAATATCTTACCTTGAGTTCGGTAAACCACGACGGCAACAGTTAAATGCACTTCGTTGGGATGGAGGAGTAGGCTCGATGAAATTGAGTAGAACCTTGGTTGTAATATGCTCAGCTGAGCTACCAAAAGTGGCGCGTGAGGAAATACGGACGGAAATTCGTCCAAAACTTCAGCTAAGTTCGGGAATCGCCAATGCCTCCAGTCTTCGTAGGCCGAGGAGTCCTGCAATACACCAATTAGTATAGTCTGGATTAAATAAATTTGGCTGGCTAAGCGCGTTATTTTCCAGTGATTTTCTTTCTGCAGCGGCTATGTTTCAGATCTGTGTAACAGATATATACGAAGATCTTCGTAGTCACTCGTCTCTTATTTTAGTTTTCTAGTTTCTAGTTTTTTGATTTCTGACGAATATATTTCAGCACATTTCAATCAAATTAAATTCAAAATCAGATTTTAGCAATTATTGTAATGAAAACTACATCGCACCTGCAGAAATTAGGTGGATTTCTCTGTTTCTGGGAACAATAGTAGCCCTAAGGCGGATTTTTGATGAATTAAACCGAAAAAACGCAATTTTTCCATTAGCAGTCAAAATTCCATTTATTGTAGCGAAAACTACATTACAAAAGAACTTCGGAAACATACAATTAATTTTGACTTTCAGAATATGATATTGCAAATTATATGCAAGTAAACCACAATGGAATGAAAAATTAAAAAGTCCTAGAAATAAATTAATTGCTGCAATCTTTAGCTGTGGTCGATGATGTGGAACCTCGTTTTCTATCTAAAAATTCAAAAGGCACGTAAGCTATTGATATGGCAAATATTTCTTTAAAAAGGCGACAAAGTTAAGGATGATGTTTCAACCTCCAATAGTGGTTCTACTTTAACAAATGATGACCAACTTATAGAAAACAACATTCTAGTAGACTGAAGAATTTCTTAAGCATAGGCGTAAAGCTAGAAGCCTGAAACGGTTGAAGGAGTGCATTAATTTCCTTCAATTGAAACAATAGAACATTTATATTATGCACTTGTCCTGCCTCACCTAAAATACTCCTTCTCGATAAGGTCAGCTTTTTGAAAAAATAATATAAACTAAAAGAGCGAGATAATCTCAAAATGAGATCATATTACTCATCAATAAGCAGCCCACAATTACTTGAAGAAATTAATTTATTTGTTTGCCCTGCAATACGAGATACCATAGTCTTAAAGAGATGAAAATATGGAGTGCAATTATGGTTGCCTCGCATTATTAGCAAGTCAATCTGGGATATACATTAATATAATTGTCTATCTAACTAACAACTGTTTTCTTTTGCCTTTGATGCTATGCTATTGAAAATTAGATTAGATAATTAGTGTTTTGTAAGTTTATTGATGTGTTGTGATATTTTTCGTTTACAAAGGGCTTGTCGCGTTTGTACACCTCGCACAACTTACCGAAGCCAAGAGATTTAATCTCTTTTGGTCTTCTTCGTCAGTTGCTATAGTAGCGAAATGTTGCAGAAGGTTTGGCGACGGAGGTGTCGTGATATCCAGATAGCGCGTAAATAGATCACGCACCGAACATGCGGGTAATCTCTCGTGTGGTTTCCAAGTTTTCAATACACCTGAAACGAACTCGATATTGGATGCTTATGTCAAACATTTTGGGTATCTACCGTTCGAAGTATGCGTCTCTTTTAAAATTTGCAATTCTACCGCCTGATCCGCGTCAGAGAAACCCTTCAGTCTACTGATGATTTTGTCAACAAGTTCTTTTCTGTTCATTGGGAACACCCCCACGTGGTCTCCCGGCTTGTAGAGCAAGTGATTCTTTAATTGTAGAAGCAGAGTAGCTTTGGAAGAGTTTTCTTTCAGAAGGTTTGTTCTACACAGAAGTGGCGAAGCAACAACCTAAAACAGAATAAGAATATAAAAGCATATTTCGAAGAACTAAATGGACAACGGAAAAAAGCACAATGAGAACTGCAACTTTACCTTTCTGTTGTGGCATTTGGATAAGGCGACCACAGTGTCGCTTTTCTTTGACTCGATAAATCTGACATTTTGCTGGGTTAAGGACTCACTCTGTAGACTGATTGTAGCTTCTAAGAAAGTGTCGTCATCGTCCAAACAGAAAGTTTCACAAGCAACCTAAAGAAAGATAATGGAAAAATATTTTATTAAACTTTTGGCACACAAACAGAATAGACCCACAACAGTATTCTCTTAATAGCAAAGACCACTATAGCCTATCTTATAAAGGCATTTTTTACAAGGGACAATAACAAAGTAATAAATGAATTATCCATATGAAGCTATTATATTATACACAAAAAGTTCAAAATTTTTTGTTTTAATCTTTCTGCAATGGAGTACACTCTACCTGGATACCAAAATATTAAGGACCAAATAAAATAATACTACAGGTACAAATTTTCATTCTATATAAACCCTAACAAACTATTTTTATTCAGTTGTTGATCGGTTGTTGTCAATATTACTTTTAATTGCTGTGATGCTGTAGAACGTGAAAACGCATCTCCGAGTGTTGACTGTAATGTGACACGTACTGCAGAGATTGGTGTTGTTAAATTCGCAATTTAGCAGCTTCCAAATGAGTGGCATCATCAAACCACAATCTCTTCAGGACGACCAAAATTTGAGGTAGACAGTTCTTTGGAAAGTAAGTTACGACTTAAGGACCATTTTCAATAAAGAACTACTGACAATTGTGATTGTGATTTTTCATCTATAAGCAGAAATACTTAAAACGGATATATCTTAAATGGGAGAAGTGAGTGGTAGCGGAGTATGAAGGAAGCATCCAGACATATATTTTATTTAGATAAAACATGAATTAATGAAAATTAAATATCATCCACGTTGTGTCAAGATGAAAATGTTAAGAGCCAAAAACAATCTTTAATTATTTGGTCGTAATTAGTGGTCGTAGTTAGAATTTTATCAGGAAAAACCGATTTCTGAACTAGATAGAGCAAAATCGATATCAAGGGCTCGATTTTTGAAACTACTTCCAACCGAGATGTAGAGCGTTTTTCAATTTTCGGCCATTTTGAAAATTGGGCATAACTTTTTTATTTATTGAAATTGTGGCGAAGGTTGAAAACATTACCAGGGCATTTTTTTAATGTAGATGCAGTGGTGTACTCAGATTTCTACAGTTCTCCGTTTTCTCATAAATGAATACAACTTTCTTATTTTATACTTTATACTTATACTCTTATTTTATAGTTGGGTACGGATTTAAAAAGATGTCCCTGTCGTTTCCTTGTCAGTCATATAAATTTGTTGGTATCTGTGATGAAAAAAGGCGGAAATATGTTTATGTTTATGTTTTGTTTGGCTGTCCATAATATGTTTAAGAAACATCACAAAGTACTTGAACTTTAAAAAAGATAAGGTCAATTTAAAATAACTTAAGGGAAAAACGCTCAACCTGAGGACTACTGCTTTTATTTTGCCTTGGCTTTTTTAAACTTCCGTAATTGATTAAATTATTGTTTTAACGTCTGGTTGGTGCCGCTCCGGATAAGTATTGAAATAAATTTCGTTGGCTGCTTTTGTGTTTTCATTTGACAAATTGTAACAATTTACCATATCATACTTTTCATAATTGTGGTAGAGTTTAAATTGTTAAATGCACTAAAAGCTTAAGCTTGACCACTAGAATTATGTGTTACAGAATACAAAATTCAATAAAGAATAAAAGTTGTTCGTAGCTGATATTGACAGCTATATAAATGCCCTACTAATACATATACAAAAATGCCCTATATTTCGGCTTTTTTTCATCATAGATACCAACAAATCTATATGTCTGAAAAGGACTCTATGATTGCCATATAAAATGTAAAAAAAATTGTGTACGCCACTGCATTTGCCTTAAAAAATGAATTGATAATGTTTTTATCCTAATCCAACGTTTTCATAAATAAAAAAGTTATGAGCAAGTATCAACAAGATCGCAAAATTGCCATGCAATTTTAACCATTAAATATTTCTCAAAAATGGAGCCCTTGACATGTAAGTCTATATAGGTTTCCTACTTAAACGCTCCAATTATGACCACCCTGTATAATTATTCTCAGCATTCGAAGTCAATAGCTGACCAAATTCAATAACCTAAAAACAATTACGTCGCAAACATTAAATGTTCTTCCTGTCAGATGCAGAGCACCCCTCAAACAACAACTCCGTCAGTTGTGTCTACGGCGTCCACTTGAATACGGTAATCCATGCCTATTATTTGTATTCGGCATATGACATTAGCCAAAAAAGAAAAACATCTGTCTTATTAAAATCTTTTACCTTGAATATTTGTGGAGCCCATTTCATAAAAGCTTGTTCCTGGCCACACATCTCGTCCCCGCTTGCTAACTTGAGAAGTCTTTCGCCGCCCAGTTCTCCAAGTAAGTTGTCCACATACTTTCCGAAAGCACAGAAATTTGGATATGCGCTTGAACCAAGAGCAAATACGGCAAACCTAAATTTCAAGTAGAATATTAGTATAGATCCAAAATGAGTCGAGTTGCTTTTGTTGCTTGGGTTGGCTAGCGAGGATTAAACCGTTCCTTGATTATCCTTATACTTTTGGAGAAAGCGATACTAGCTAATTTAGGTACAATTCGAAAACATCACTCAACTGAACCTCAAAAAAAAACAGCCTAAACTTATTTTTAAATGGGAAACGAAAATAGTCCATTAAAAAAAAGTCGCAGTCCTTTTGTGTGAGGTTGCCTTATTTTCCCAGATAATTTTTAATTTTACCTAAAACACGATGCGTAGCATTGTTTTTTCCAAAAATACAAGAAAAAATCAAAATTAGGAATACCTAAAGGACGCAGAAAAGGACTAAAGCAATTGAACTTGATGAAAATCCATTTATCAAAAGTTCAGATTTTCACGAAATTATATATTTTGACATGACAATTGTTTCGACAACACCTTTTCATTTGATAAAATCAAAATATATAATTTCGTGAAAATCTGGACTTTTAGTTCTTATTTATAAATAGATTTTCTGCGAACACGATAATTATGTTATCAATACACACATGCCATGTGAGCAATCACTTAGAAATTGCTAAAAGCACAACACATTTAAAGCAATCAAGGTAAATTAATGGTCTTAGCATTTTGTTACCGAAGTACAATTCCATAGAATGAAAAAAGGAGTGGACGGTGGATTTATTTGATTTTAATAAGCTTATTCGAATGTCCGTTTAAATCGCTTTTAGAACTCAGTTACATTAAGCACCGTTTTTTAAATAGATTCTCTCCATCTATCAAAGGGACAGACAAGGAATTTGCCCAGGACGCTAAAGAGGATGGCGTTTTTCAGGTGTCGCATTACACCCGTTTTTTACTTGGATTGGAATTGGATTTTATGGGATAATCACTATTAAGGTCCTACGAAAAGAAACAGATTAGGTCTGCGTCACTTATCGTGCAGTAATGATGCCGATGTTCGATTATAACAAAAAGTATCGATTTGTAAAATTAAGGGTATCCGTTTTTTTAGTTTTCAATGCAGCATAGTTTTTCGGTCTAATTTCGTAAACTTTGAATGAAATGAAGGTCGTGTTTCTAGTGACATGAATATTATCCGGCAAAAAATAAAATTTATTGGGTACAATTTGGTGGGGAAAATATAACTTCAAATCTCTAGTGTTATGAAGATACCATTACAGAATGAAAGACGAAATTGCGAAGAAATAAATTTTCAAAAACGAATTTTAACTAACCCATTCGGTCCCACAACGAAGTAATATATAAGGTGTTCTATCGAAATATGAGAAGATAATTAAGATTGCATAGTAGATAATTACATAATGCAATATTTAAAAAACATATATATATATATATATATATATATATATATATATATATATATATATATATATATATATATATATATATATATATATATATATATATTTGCTTGTAGTTAGATTTCTACATTTTAGAAACAAGTCCATTATAGAATGCGTTTAAAAAAAACCTAATCCCTAACCAAATGTATTGCGAATTATGTAAACTCTATATAATATATACTTACGATTATTGATGGCGTGAAAAATGAGACGGAAAATATGAATGACTAGTCAAATACGTTTAAAAATAATTAAATTTTTATATACATTTAGAAAATGTATTCATTTATTTCGAGATTATTTTCCTCCAAGTTCTTCCTTTCCCAAATCTCTGTTTTTTATTCTGGACGTTTTGTGTTGTTGAAAATCACTAAGTGAATTTAGCCTCTCACCTTTTTTAAGTGAAATTTTTATGAAAAATTTTGAGGGAAAATATTTTATAGTCAATACTACATATCATAAATTTGCTTCTTTTAATTCTTTGTTCCATAGGCTTTTTAACATTTATCTTTCAAAGGAAGAATTCAATAATGAATTCACGACGATTAGATAAATTGTTAAGTTAAGAACCAGGTATATTATTCTTCTAGATCAGAGATATATTCTTTAAACTGTGAAAATTGTAATGTACTGTCTGTACTGTCTGATAGGAAGATCTCCATCAGCGATACTGATGTAACAGAGCCAAAATCTGCCTTGACAATATTTTAGCTGAGTACCTAAAGAGTAAAAAACTTTGATGATTGCTTAATTTAAATTATTTTATTTTGATGATTCGCGTGTGAGTGAGTGTGAGCAAGATATTATCTCAGTTGTAGCTAAATAAATAGGCAGAAAATTGTTAGTTATTATTAGTCATAATACGCAATTTAAACATAAATCCGTCCAATATTTTTCTTCAGAACTATTTTTTACTGTTTTAATTTATTTTATTTATTTATATATTTATGTATTTGACTTTTTATAACAAAATGATATAGTCTAGCAAAAAAAAAAAAGAAAAAAGAATAAGTAGAATCGGGAACAGGAGGGTAAGACAGTGCGTACAAACACCTAAAAGAAACATCAAAACATTAAGTGCTAGAGTGCAATATCTAAACTACACTATCGTGTGTAACAACTACGACTGGTGCGTAAGTTCACAACGGATTTTACCTCACGTTACTGAGAGGACCAAACGTATCCTCTAACAGAGGCTCGCTCACCGACGACGAGCCGCCCCTGAGCGAGTTTAAACGATCGAGCCTCCTTTTAACCGATCCAAGTTCACTTTGACTGTTAGCTTTTATGAATGACTTTGAAGTCGCCATGCTAATGTAAATTGCAAAATACCTAAAGTTAATTCTGGAAAAAGTGTTAGTCGAAGCTGGTCAAAAGCGTTCGCTTTAATTTCTTGTAAAAGTCCCTGATTCTAATAAATCGATTTTTTGTTGCATCCGAGCAATGTACATTGATTGAATTAGAGCTCTAACGAACCTCCTAGATATCTGCGAATGTTGACAGAATTCGCTTTTATTTATTTTCAAGTCATTTTTCTCCTGTTGGCAAATCTATGTAAAAATCAATATATATTTAATAATTAATCATTACTTCCGAGAACGCTTTATGATAACATCTATTCTTTAATATATTAGAAAATGAGCATTTCAAATATTAGAGCCAAATGTCATAATTTATTGAAATGAATTTGAAAAATTTATGTACTTATAAGATATTTTATTTCTGTTGTAGAACCTATAAGAAAAGTAATAATACATTTTTGACAATTCATCGATGCTCTAGTTGTGAAATTCCACCGACGGCGCTAAGATTACATGAGATCATGAAAAGGCTGATGTAAATCTAATGTAATATATTGTCCCATGGCTACAGACGGATATCAGTAGAAGATACATCAATGTGTTTTATGACACGATTTGTGCACACGAATTCCTGACATTTAACTAAAGGACAGCGTACTTTTCAATAGAAAGAAAAATGTATTTTTTTATATTGTAACTAACAAAAATTTTTTATAGAGACAAGAAAAAATAATTTTTGAGTGGGATCGTCCGAATCAGCATTAAGTACTATAATAAACAAATGTACCAAAGCTCATCAAAATTGGTAAGAAATGCTGAGGATACAAATGAAAAATATTTTCATTCCAACTATTAACCACTAACCACGAGCATTTTAGAACACATAATTATATGAACTTTCATATATCTGTGAAACATTTACTTCTAAATGTTCTAAAATGTTTTCAATCCTTGAGGGTGGAATTTACAGTCGATACTATACTAGGTCACGGATGACATCAGAATGTGATATCAATAATTCATTGTGCCCATTCATAATTTTCAAGGACTGGGAAATCCACTATCAATCCGCAATTCAATCCTCAGTGGATTTATTGCTAATATTAATAAAGCCAAGTGACAATTTTGATCATGTAAATCATATTAGATGTCTCAAAAAATGTTGAAATAATTTCTGGGGAAAATAGAATATTAATAAAGGTTTATCCGGAAATGTTTCCTTCGGAAAATACGACTATGGTCACTAATCTTTAATAACCAAAGTAAAAATGTTAATATTTTAATTTAATAATTTAATAATAGTAATGAATTTCAATATGTCATTTACCAATTATTTCTAATAAATATTGAACCATCACACTATCACAACTATTACACACTATATTTTTTGATAGAATAACTATGGACCTATAATTATCACATTAAGTTATCCTTTGAACTTATAACCATTATTGCATAATTTTCGCTTAAAACATACACCAATAGGTACTTTTCACAAAATTTCTGCATTCCTCCTGCGTCGGTTTTTGCTGAGTCGAACTTGCTGACGTTTCGCCAATCATCCTTTTGGCTTCTTCAGAGCCTGACTGAAACTGGCTCGCATTTTAGTCTGTACCTGCTTATATATTGTTTGAGGGGGGCGGAGCTAATTGAGGGGCATAAACACCATCTCGGATGATTGTTAGGTTGTTTATAGATTTCTATAGACTCTCGGATTTTTCATTGGTCGAAAAATTGATTAAACGCAAAAATTTTAATTTTATCGAATAAAATTTTATGTTCGGTTTCGTGATTGTGTTCGGCAACAGCTGATGAGTTTATTTGTCTCATCGTAAGGCTTTTTCGTGTTCTTTGAGCCTAGTAAACTGAGCTTTAAATTCCTGGCATTTTAATGGAATTTTGTCTTTGACGCACCGAAGATGTTGAGAGATTTCTGAGCAAGTGGTAAATCTAGTTTTGACGTTATACTTCTTTAGAACCTTTGTGGTGGTCAGTGATGTGAATGTAATGAAGGACCACAGTGGCAACTGTAGGATTGCTTTCGGCTTCATTAATATCTTAATATCTTTAATGTGGGAATTATTAGAGAGAAGAGCAGACGTAAGGTGTGTTAATTCTGGACTCAGTGACTCGGGTTGAGATAGTTTTACGACTCTGTAAACAAAACAGTTGATAACCGATTATTTTTGGACCGGATGGTGATGTGACCATGCATTAATGTATCGGCCTGTGTGCGTAGGTTTTCTGTAAACACAATGACCCAATGTTAGGTCTGATTTTCTATTGATGAGAATATCTAAGAATGGAAGGTCATTATTAGTTTCCAACTCAATGGTAAAACGTATGTTAGGGTGTAAGAAAATCTACTATGGTCTTGACCATGAGGCTAAATAACAAAAGTATTATCGACGTAGCGTTTCCATAATTTTGGTTTTAGATGAAGAGCTTTCTTCTCAAAGGCTTCCATAAATATATTCGCGATGACTGGTGATAGTGGAGAACCCATACCAATTCCCGACGTCTGTTCAAAAATATGTTCCATACAAGCATTTTTCGATTAAGGTGAGAAGTTTTGGTTCAACTCAGCAAAAATCGACGCAGGAGGAATCCAGAAGTCTTGTAAAAAGTATTACAGTAGCCTGTGGAAGTTCCTTTGACCAAATGCACCAATAGGTATTTAAAAAGTTCGATTAGTTGGAAAATTGTATAATATAAAGATTAACATGTATTTCCTTTTTCTAGCCCTCAGTACTCAGGTTAAAGTACCGCTAACGACATGAACGTATTGCTCAAAAATTCGTTTTCAAAAATGTATCAATCATTTGCAAATTTTGTCAACGAATTAGATATGCAAATACGTATCGATTGACTCCAACTTTGCCGGAATTCAATCAGCTCACGATGTCTCTCGCATCAGTTAATACTACTAAGTGTACACGCAATGTCGACATACTATTGGATAACTTTAATAGAATTGTAAACTGTACCGCACACTCACCTCAACTTCGCGGGGTCCCCATTCGTGATACCGTTTTCATTCATTTTGAGTGTGTACAAATTGTTTGCGAATTCCTGCAAAAAGTCTTAATCAAAACGTGTCACGTTCGCTAAAACAACAGTGTTATGATGTTACGATCAGTCTTTACCAAGTTAACGCCCAATATCATCAGCATTGCGGCGCAAACTTTCGCATTTCTCGTTTAGTGTCTTACGTGAAGCTTTTAGATCTTAAGAGCAAATTTAATCCCTTGGGTGTCCTTGTTTTGGTGCCTAAATTATCATGGAATATAACGAAGTTTTATAAGATACTAACTATTTTATCCCACTTTATAACAAGTAACAAGTGCTCCTGCAAACCACTATGTAACTTTCGCCAAATAAACTGAACTCTTTTGTGAATGCCTGTTGTATAAAGTGTCTTTCAAATAAGTACTCGACCGAGCTTCAAAATAATGTCAAGCTAACTTATCCCCAAAAAAATCATTTTTAAATTCCAATTCAGCTTTCATGTTTTTGATAGCGTAAATGGTTTTCGAGAAAATACTTTTTTCTTAAAAATAATTTCAGAAGTCCCATTTAGGCAAGTATTACCAGAATAGGTAGGGTTCAACTTTTCCTTCCTGTCAAATTTTAAGTTGATAGCTGCAAATTTTGAGCACTTGTACTTTTTCACATACACGGATTTTCTCGCACTCCCTGTACAATATGGAGGAAATGTTAAATATAAAAGCTTTAGTTCTCAACTTTATCGCCATGTGAATGAAAATGACAAACGAACCATTCCACACTTTAAAAGAGGAAGTGAATTTTCAATTTTTAATGAAAAACTTGCACGCCCTGTATAATGTCGAAAAAAATGCTTTTTCTAACAGTCGTAGCTCACGATAACATAGTTTATTCACCCATTGAATTGAGCAGCATATACAGGGTGTTTGAAATATATACGAAAAAATTGAGGTCACCACTTTGTTCAAAATAAAGGTTAGTTTGTTATATAAACGCTGGGTCAAAACCCAATCATTAGAAGATAGTAATGTCAAATGAAGCAACAACAAGAAACGCCTTAAGAAGTGGCAGTAGCTCACTATATTTTTTTTCTAATTTTAACATTTTATTTTGTAAGTATTATGAAGAAATTGAAGTAAACAACATTTTCTCAATAAAACTTTTATTATAGCAATATTTTTTTAATATTTTATCGATCTATTTATTTTTGTTCTTAAAATAAAAAAAAAACAATATTTTTCCGCCATATTTGTAGCGCCATATCTCCCTAATGGTTGGCTTTTGACTTAACGTTTATGTTTATTTTAAACAAGGAATCATCACCCTGTATATTAGTAAAACACATTTAAATATAAAAAACATTAATCAAAATAAGCTAAAAATAAATTGTCTGAAAGAAGTAGTCGGAATTTTTAGCTGAACTAAAATAAATCTGTCCAAATGTCAACTGCTTATCTAATGGACAACTTTCTGAAAATGGAAATGAAAGTAACTTGGTTGGATTATAAAATATAAAATCACAAAGTTTCGCAAGTAATACAATACATTAGAGACGGGGGTTTTCACCGATGAAGAACTACTATTATTAATGAGTTATTAATTACTAGCAACTCTGGTTGTTGAGCAGATAGAGGCAATTTTTAATAGCATCAAACGTTATCACATTAAATTACTTGCCTCTCCATTTTCTGGTGGATCGCCGTTGCCGAATGTGGAGGTGACAACTAGCAGAAGAGCTTCGTGTTCGATACTGGAAATGTCATAATCTGCCATACAGTACACTTGAGCATTAAATGCATGTCCGAATATTTCTCCCAGTTTCTTCGCGTACCCTTCGGATTTTCCGGTTTCAGTCGCGTAGAGTACCGTTGCTTTGATTCTCTTGGAAAGTGCTCTCCCAAAAAGTTTGGATGTAAATTTGACGGCCCTACAAAATGGTGCTACTTAAAAAAAAAATACCACAATTTACAAGCATGCTAAAAAAGCGACGCTCCTGCTTTGTGATAAGTAGGGATAATATGGGCATTAGGGAGTATAGTACATCAAGTTTCTGACTGCCAAAGAATAAAAAACGCCTATTTCCCTACTCTGAAAGTATACTTATGAAGTAAAGGTGTCTCAAGGTGTACCTAGGTATACCTTGCTTACTGCTGAGTAATTGGCAGAGGAACCACTTACCTGGCAATTTGCTTAAAGTTGAATTTTCTTCTGGGTTTCTTGCTCTTTCCTGATTCGCGTCCTTTCTTCCAGACGTGGACCTTCCATGCAGCTTCCTATGTTTGAAAATCAAAATAAAATAAGTCAAAAAAATGCATTGCTGGGATAAAACAACATTCAAAAATCAAATTTCGTAGTCTAAAGTTACTGTGATTGGGTCCCTAAGGGAGCTTTCAGTTCAGTTGCTACGAGGGTTGTTCAGATATTGTTTTTTCTAACATAGTGTTCGTTGATTTTTAAAGTCATTATTTTATATTATTATTATATAATTAAATTCATTTTCCCATTTGTCACTTAAGGCTATATATTGGCGGTCATCATATGGGAAGTCCATATATAAAATGCCTTGGCGTTGTATATAATTTAATTTATTTCATTCCACGTCTGATACTTTTAGGCAATCTAGTGCTGTAGTCAAATAATAATAATAAGTCATATAAATATGGGCTAGTAAATGTTACTGCATGATTTGGCTTGAGACCTGGTTGTTAGTAAATGTGGAAATAACTCAGCAGTAACGGTTGTTTGATATTGGTCAAGTTCTGGATAAAGTACGGGATTTTGTACTTGTGAACAAGACGCTACAGGAGGGTGTGCTGAAAGATAAAAAGATAAATATGAAATTGATAGCGCAGACTTTAGTAGCTTTTAAATAGGCATCGTTCAAACCATTTTAAAATTGGGTTCCTAAACTTTCTAATTAAATTCGCCATTGCGAAGACACTAAATGTGGACGATATTGGCCACCTTTAATCAAAGAAAACTCTCAGGGAAAACTCAGAACTGAGTGTGCAGGAATCGAAATATTTCATCGTATTCTTCAGATTTGGTATCTAGTGACTTTTCATTCAATGTCAGGAACAATAGTATCTGAACAGCCCTCGTATTTCTTTCTTATATTTTTGTTGTAATTAACAACGAGATTATAATGTTTTTCCTAGCCCCCATAGCGATAAATCTCCATTAAACGTTTTATTGAGTATTTTATATGTTGGTATTTAATTTAAAATTAATACGTATTTTAGGTCCTCTTCCGCAAACTGCAGACCGCGTTGCAAATTAATTACGATTTTCCACGTAAATGACTTTAATGTAATGCACTTTGCATCCCATAAGCCGAAATAAAAGTGGCCATGAATTTGAACTGTTAACTTTACAACGGATTATATGTTGTTTAATAATAATGTAATTATTCAAAGCTATCTCAAACATTGCAATAAAATATATTATTGGTAGCATTAGTAAAATTAATATAAATATTTGAAACAGACTAAACAAATACGAGGAAACCTTGTATACGGTATGGACTAGGCGTTTGGCAAACTATAGCAGTTTATGAAAAACGATTTTTGGAAATATTTCTATAATAATTTTTCTTTTTTTTTTACCTAACAACCACTTTTCAACAGAAATGACTTTCTATTACCTCTCTGATTCTATGATTCTATCATTTTTTCTAACTGAATGCCAATAATTTGGGGTCCATTTTAAAAAGAAAACTTCGTATATATATATATATATATATATATATATATATATATATATATATATATATATATATATATATATATATATATATATATATATATATATATATATATATATATATATATGATGACACTATATTCCGGGATATCATCCGTTCGCTCGTTGAACTCCGACTGAAATCCTGCAGACGTTTCGCCAAAATCTCACTTGGCATCTTCAATCTTCGCGCTTCGAGTGTTCGAAGTGTTTTGGAAATATTTCTATAATAATTTTTCTTTTTTTTTTACCTAACAACCACTTTTCAACAGAAATGACTTTCTATTACCTCTCTGATTCTATGATTCTATCATTTTTTCTAACTGAATGCCAATAATTTGGGGTCCATTTTAAAAAGAAAACTTCGTATATATATATATATATATATATATATATATATATATATATATATATATATATATATATATATATATATATATATATATATATATATATGATGACACTATATTCCGGGATATCATCCGTTCGCTCGTTGAACTCCGACTGAAATCCTGCAGACGTTTCGCCAAAATCTCACTTGGCATCTTCAATCTTCGCGCTTCGAGTGTTCGAAGTGTTTTCGGAGCGCGAGCATTGAAGATGCCAAGTGAGATTTTGGCAAAACGTCTGCATGATGATATCCCGGAATAAAGTGTCCTCACACTTCTCCATCCGTGAATCAATACGTGAGAATATATATATATATATATATATATATATATATATATATATATATATATATATATATATATATATATATATATATATATATATATATATATATATATATATATATATATATATATATATATATAAATGTGGTGGCAAGGGTTATTTATTAAAACATCTAGGGTGTTAAGAGTTAAACCTATATTTGAAAAACTCAATAATTTTAAATATGGTAAAGATTTGAAATTTAGTGACAGAAAAAATGAATATTAAAATCAGTGCATGTACAATGCATGCGTGACGAGAACGACGATAATGATCAAGAGTAAGTTTTAAGTAAAACGAAGTTCTTTTCTAGTAGTATAGAATAAAAAATTGTAAAAACTTCATCGGGTATATGATTAGTTTAAGTTCATACTAATAGCATGTTCTGATTTGTGACCAAAATGTACTTCGATTGAATTTTAATGTTAACATATGAAAATATATCTATCAAAATTTCGATACCAGGAAAAACTCAACAAATTACAATTTTTTTCAGAACACAACCACAGAAACAAAATATAGAACCGACGAAAATTAAGTTCAACCAAGGGCGCTATTATACTTTTTTGCTAAATCGAAAGCAGGGATTTATGCGGGGTTGTTTTCCAAATATGAAACATTTTACAGCAATTTAATCAAAGGTTAGGCTCCCTTCTTACGGTCTGGTAACATATAGACGGATACATTTGAGCCCCGGTCGTCATATTTTGAAAGTAACATTTTGTCGGATATGGGAAGGAAATCAGGCAATTTGGAGTCGATAGCAAATTGCAGGAAATCTAAAAAATAAAATCGGTGATGTGTTAATCGGAAATGTATCATCTGTCAACTATAATTCTGTCGCCATTTCGAGAAATGCAATAAAGACGGTTTCGTAGATTTTCAGATTTCTGTTGAATCAGTTTATTTAGGGAACCTTATACAAAGAGTACCGTAATGAACTCTTATCAAATTTCACTGTTAATTAAAACAAAGTTAAAGCCGAAAAAGACCACCACCTATAAATCGAGCTAGAAGTGTAAATAAATCGAAACAAGAAGCCATAATTCCAACACTATTTCCTTTGATTAGGGAATAAAGCCTTTGTTTGGTTTATATATATTTCTAAATAATAAAAGTACAGTCGCTGATTGTCATCAAAAGATTGGACTAAATTCTTGGAAAACTGTATTAATAAATTGTGTGTCCAAAAATTGAGTGTTTTGTTTTATTTATTATTTCTATAAAAAATGTGGCTACCAATTTTGATACACAAAACACAAACACAAATAGTTATAGCGAATCAGAATGCTATCAAGGTTAACTGAAACCATTCTACATACTAGTTGTCACCGTATGGGCAACAAGTGCAGTATTAGGGAAACGGATAAACGAGATAAAGTGGTGTAAATTATTATTTAGTTTGACCACCAGGGGGTACAAATTTTAAAGCCCGTTTCCGGCAGAATTTCCCTATATTAACAGTACTTCATAATACAAAACTATTTGGAAGTTAAAACAATTTTTTTTTTATTTCATGCTCTTTGCTCCATCTCTGCGAGGTGTTCGAACATTTTCGGAAATAAATGCCGAGAGTTCCAAAATGACCTAACACATTTCAATATGCTTGAAGTGAGTGAGTGAGAGTAAATGAGAGTGAATGAGACGATTGTGAATGTTTACCTTGCCACCAGATGTTGTTTTCAGACATGATGGCGAATAAATCAATTTTTTGAAAAAAATAAAGAAAGAAAAGAAGGTATTTTTACCTTAATAGTTGTTAAAATCTAAGTGCCATAATCTACCAAACTAAAAGCTAATTTATTATTTGGAATGACAAATTATATTACTGAAATGCATTTCGTTCTTTTATATATTTTTAGAATATCTTCCAGGACGGGCGCAAAATTACCCATTACCACTTATTTCTTTAAAAAAGTGATAAAGACGACTAACGAAATTGAATTTGTATTTTAATTATCATTTGGAACCCTAAATAACAAATTAGCATTTGATTTAATAATTAACATTAACAGCAACCCGTAAAGTCAAAATTCTCCCTAAGAAATTGAGATGCTGTTTTCACTGTTGTTGACTGAGTGTTGGACTCTTATGAGACTACCAAGTGAAAAAAGTCATATCGTTTATTTTTTTAGATAAAATTATTTCTTTGTGATTATGTCAGAAGACGACATCTGGTGGCGAAGTAAACCATCGAGTCCTTACTCATAACATGATTGACAGCCTAAAAAAATACATTTTCAACGACTTCAATTTTATTAAAATACGTTAAGGCCTTCTGGAGTTGGAGGATTTTTAGACGGTCCAAACAAACTTTGTTGAAACTGGGGTTTTAATATCAACAGGACAATCATGTCCTTTGGTGGCCACTTCAGAAAATTATTTCCAGCATTTTTTTTCAGATTTCTAGAATTTACTGGGACACGCGGTATGTGCTACGCTCGAACACTGTAAACTTAAACATTTGGTTAATTTTTCAGGAGTCATTAAATTTTTCATCACGGTAGTTGGTGGTTCTCAAACAATCTATATCAATAAAAGAACGGTAGGCAGGGTATCATATTAATATATTAAATATCACACATATATTCCACCGAACTACAATTATAAAAATTGAGACAGATCGATTATAAGACGAAGCTCCCCGTTCGGACAGGATTTCTGAAAATTTGATGTCTAAATATGCAAAAATAAGAGTTGACAGTAAGAGTAGTGGAAATGAAATTTAAAGAGATTTTTCCCATAGGGGGAGTGAAACTTTATTGGTTTAGTGTAATGTCAAATAATGTTAAACTTTTAGAATGAAATGAGATCCATC